TGTTTCGGCTATCTTTCCATTCACCACCTCCCTTTTGAGTGCCGCAATTCAGATTTGATCTCTTACCCTTACTCTTTACATTTCATATGTTGATAATGAATTCTTTATTTACATTGAGGAAAAAAATAAAATTTAAGTGTGGAGAAAGGATTTATGAAGAATTTGTAATTGCTAGTGTGTTTGTGTTTGATTTTTAGGTTATTTATCTATAAAAAAAAATATGTTGAAATCAATGGCATGGTTTAGTATGATATCCTTCTTACTCGATGATTGATGTAAGAGTTTTAACAAGATCTTATGAGAAATTTTAGATTGTTTTAAATATTATTATTGTGGAAGTACATACATACTAGAAAACTTTATACGTTTTTATGATTTAGCATGAGTTGTGAAGTGATGCTTCTTTTGAAATTATCTTTTGAAACTTGGCCTAAGCATGGTTTAAGTAAACAAGATTTTTAACTATTATGGAAATTTGAGAAAGAAAAGAAAAAGAAAGCATTCCAAATGTTTAGCCTTATTGAGTGAAAATCTACTCCAATGTTTTAAGTTGTGTAGTAACCGAGAGTATTCATCATAAATATTTACTTTTATGTCAAATATCAACTTGAATTATGAGTATGCAAAATACTATAAGTGTATGACTTGCTAAGTAATTGGTTACTTTCATCACAAATGTTATTAGTCGTATAGAAAAGTGAGTGATTACTTAGGGAAGAACTCGTTAAAGCCTTAAAAAAAAGATTAGAATGCTCAAGTAAGAAAAATTTTTAAGGAAAGAAAATCATGATTTACTACTTCTACTTGTAGTAGTGGAAAGAGGTAATGGTAAAATAAGTATTACATGCTTAAATTATATTGGTTACAAAGATGTATAAATCGATTTAGAAACATACATAGATATGAGAATAATATTTTAAACATGATTGATTTAACTATTTGATTTTGTTGGATTCTGAATTAAGAATCAATATTTGAAGGATAATCATACTGGCATGACATTCATTAAATATTTTGTAGATATACTTTTGAAAACCCTCATGAGACTCAACTTTTCCACTAGGGGTGACCTAGAAGTTTGAAGGTTTGTTGTATATGTTACATGCAAAATTATGATTCCTACAAAAGTGAGTGAGGTTTTTATTTTGTTTCTTTTACTCAAGGACTTGTAAAATTTAACTATAGGGGTATTTGATCGATGCATAATTTACATAACTTTTATGCCCTTTTACATTAAACTTACTAGTACTTATTGTATTATATTAAGACAATTGAGAACAAGATAATAATTTTATATTTTATAAGAAAAATGAGAAATCAAAGTAAATAAACCCAACTCAAAGCACATAAGAAGCCAAAGCCATGAAAGAACCAAAGGAAACACACCGACTTATGGCTTACAAGAGGAAAAAGCTACTAGCCGTGTGAAATAAAGAAGAAAACTATGTGGATGTTCAACAACTAAAACACATAGATAGTAGCAATCAACATGACTGAGGTAGAAAAAATGACACACTCATATGTGTTAATTTTGCGATGTCTTCCAAAGGAGAAAGAAACAACTTACCGAAAAAAACTAAAAGACACAAGATGAAGAGCAAATGTGGCACGTACTGTGGGCCTCGATCAAGTAAGCCATATACCACCAGCTATTTAAGGCTCCAAATCATGTAAACTCAAGAAGTAAATTATGTGTCACAACAAGCAAATCATGTGACATCTTAAGGCGATTGTATGTGTGTGTTATAACCCTATTTTTAGTTATACATAGAGATGTGAAGATTTCACTTTATTTATCTTTTCAATTCCAAGCAGCTATAGATAGAAATCATCTTTTGTACACAAAAACATGCAACACTAAAAACCTTTCTTGGTTAAAGGAAAAGTTAAAGTCTTTGGTAAAATCATTGTGAGATCTAAACGAGTTTTATTTCTAATTTTATTTTTGTTGGTTTTTTTATGTTTTTCTATGTTATGTGAATATGGTTGTATGATTGATTAATTAGAGTGCACGATTGTTAATTAATCTTTATAATCTATTGTTAGAGAAGAATTCAAGTTCGTAATTGCTTGTGTAAACTTGCTTGTGATAGTAACTATAGGTTAATAATTATAAATGTTTTTTTATTTAATACTTTGAAGAACATAGAACTAGATTAAATTCTTCTAGCTTCTACCATAGTTTTTAGCTTTACCTATCTTTCTATCACTTAATGTTATTATTAAACTAAATCTAGATAGCTTCTACTAGGTTATTTAATAGTTAGAGATTAATCAAATAGCTTCTATTAATTAATAAATCAGTAAGAAAAGATTGGGGATAACATTCATGCTCGTTATCCTATAGTGAAAATTCATAATAAGAATAGGTTAATATCGAAATTCATCATCAACGATTGAACCAAAAGTGAAAACCAACCTTTGATCAAGGTTTTTATTATTGTTGCTAACTTTTATTTGCTTTGACTATATTTACCACTCTCAACACACAAAACCCCCACTTTTACCTTTCCTTATACCTTGAAACAATCGGAAGATAGAGAAAATTGATTGAACCGATTCTCTATGGGATTGACCATTACTTGTCTTACAATCCCGTGATTTGATTCAGTAAGGAAAAAGAAATAATTAATTTTATGGTTGTACGACATGCCATCGGTTAGATTATCTCAACTTTCACTATTTTAAATGTTTATTTCCAAATTTATTTATTGATGAAAATCTCATTTTTTTCAGTTGTGAAATTTGACATTTGCCAAACATACTTGTACATTATTTCTAATCAAATCATACAAAGAGTTTCATCTATTTTTTCCAATTTATAGTGACATATAGGGACCCTTTAGTATAAAAGAATATCTTTGGTACACGATAATTCATCACCTTTATTGATGACCACACTTGAGTATGTTTGGTTTATCTTCTTAAAGAAAAATATGAGACTACAAAAACATTTTAATAATTCCTTTCATGATAAAAATTTAAATTCATACCTTTATCCAAACAAGTAAGAATTGATAATGAAAAAGTGCTTTTGACATAAATTCTTGGAGACTCGTATTGAAATTAATGGAATAATTCACCAAAATTTATGTTCGGATACCCTTCAATAAAGTGGTGTAGTGGAAAGAAAAAATTGTCACCTTCTTAAAGTTGCTAGAGCCTTAATATTTACCATGCAAGCTTCAAAATATCTTTAGAGTCAAGGTGTTCTAACAACCTCGTATCTCATAAATCGAATGCCTTCTCGATTCTTAAATCTACTATTCTAATTCAATTCTTCCGCAAACATATAAAGCAAAACTTGTTTTGCGGATACCACCATCATTTTTCTCACAACAACCAAGGTGATCTCCATCCATTAACAACGTCATTAAGATTGATCTCTATTTTGTTCGTGACGAGGTCATATAGGGTGATTTAGTGGTTTGCTTTGTGCATTGTAATGGCTAACTTCCTAATTGGAAAAGAGTAATATGAATCATTGTATTCAAGTTGGTCTTCATTGAAGGTGTTCTTGCATCTAAATATGCAAGCTTACGTAACAATCTAGGCATTACTTCTCATGTTCGGGTAATAGAAATTATTGCATTTAGGTGTCGTTTGGTTATAAAAAATGAAAAGTTCAAAATAAAAATGCAGGAATCGAATAAAAATTAAGGAATCAAAATGACATTTATATTCTTATATTGTGTTTGGCATAGTAATAAAGAATCAAAATAAAATCTAAAATTTTTAATATCTGATTTTTATGAAGAATAAGAATAATAATTAAAAATATATAATTTCATCAACTATGATGATAGTAAAAATGATAAAAGTATTTATGGTGGTGGAGCAAGAATGGTAATAGAATAATAATAATAATAATAAATTTTGAATATTTTTTATCATTATTGGTAATAGTGGTAGTAGTGGAAGAATTGTGACATAATAATAATAATTTTTTTTTATCACCATCGTTTATGGTGGTGGTGGCTATGTTGGTGGTGGTAATGATGGTGATGATGGTGGAGGTGAAGGAAGCAATGATAAAGGTGGAGGTATAGGTGATTGTAGAAATAGTTGATATACGAGAAAATAAAAATAATATATTATTTTTTTAAAGAAAAAATTTATCCTCGTTTTTTATTTTATTCTCACATCGCTTCATAGAAATGAAACTATATGTAATTTTTATTATTATTCTCATTTTTTATTTTTATTTCTCATTTTATTCTTTTTAACCCAACACCTAGTTATAAAATAGAAATAAAAATTTTATTTACATTCCATCGTTACATTCTTTGTTACCAAACAACAACTCACTATAAATGTAAAGATTGTGAGGATCATTGTATCTAATGTAAGGATTATTTATTTCGTTTCAATTTATATATACACACTTATTGTTGAATATATGTACATGTGACCTACAAGACGTAAGGCATCCAACTCTCTCAATCCTTTTAGAGACGACCTATTTGTGAATACAGAAAAGAAAAGAAATCCATTTTCCTTATTAGACAGGAACAAAAAGATGTCAAAAACAGTCCAACGGTTATTTTTCTTCTTCTAAGACACGAAAAAAAATAAAAAGAAGTAAAAACAGTCCAACAATTACTTTTACACAATCACGACAATTCCAATTGTCGTCCCAGGTCATCTTCTCAATCAGCAGTTTACTCTTAACAATTGCGTATGATGATCATAGCACAGTGGCCTTTCTAACTATGGTATTGGTTTGCAACTCAATGTTTCTTAAATCTCCGCCAAAATCGTGTAATTGGTAAGATTAGTTTAGAACTTCTGACCAGTCAGGAAGGTTTTATTTCCAAACCAACTTAACTGAAGAACCTACTAGCTAGATCTATAAAGTTGAAAAAAAAAAAAAAAGGCATTTCTGTCAAGAAATTCAACTGGTGCGTGACCCACCCACTCTAACCCAAACACATGGGAGACCCATAAAATGAAAGGAAAACGATCTTATTACTATTAAATCTTCATTCAGTCCCACTATTATGGAAGAGACTTGTCAAAAACAGTATCTCCTTCAACATCTTCTTTATTTCCTTCTCTATTTGTTAATCTTCATTGCTAATATTTCTAAAGCCCTAGCAAACCCAACAGCTTCGAATAAGTCAGCTACGGCTGTTATAGTGTTTGGAGACTCGACTGTCGATCCTGGAAATAACAACTATGTGAAAACAATTTTTAGGGCTAATTTTCTACCTTATGGAAAGGATTTTGCAAACCATGTCCCAACAGGAAGGTTCAGCAATGGGCAGCTAACCACTGATTTTATCGGTAAGTTAATTATTTTGATGTGAATGTGTTGTTCATTTGACATATATATACATATAGGAAGACGAATATGATTTGTCGATTGAATTAATTTGTGTTTATCTGATCTGATCAGCTTCCTATATGGGCATCAAACAGTCTGTGCCTCCGTATTTAGACCCTACTCTTAGCACTGAGGAGCTTATGACAGGAGTTAGTTTTGCATCGGCTGGCTCCGGATTTGATCCTCTTACACCAAAAATATCTGTACGTCTCTCTCTTTTTCTACACTTACAAACACACATTATCATTATTATTTACTTAATTGCCTACTGTAACAACTTTTATGGTATAAGAACAGCATATCCACGTTGATTAGGATATCAAAATCTTTGATGACTAAATTTATAAATGCTAGTTTTCTTCTGATGGATGGATCAGTTTTTGTTAGCTGGACATCAAAATCTTTGATGACTAAATGTACAAATGCTAGTGTTCTTCTTCTGATGGATCAGTTTTTGTTAGCTGGGCATCAAAATCTTTGATGACTAAATGTCTAAATGTTGCTAGTTTTCTTCTGATTGATGGATCAGTTTTTGTTAGCTGGACATCAAAATCTTTGATGACTAATTGTACAAATGCTAGTTTTCTTCTGACTGATGGATCAGTTTTTGTTAGTTGGACGCAGAGTTTTTTTTTTTTTTTTCACCTAAGTTTAGGAAAAACACTTATGAATTTGAACATGATTTTGATTTTTGATATGGCTGGGGCTATTTACGTCTCAAAATATGAAATTTACTGAAGTAAGCATGGTTAAAGAGTAAATATACCTAGAGAAACATCAGAAGAATTGAAGGAAATATGTGCGTACTTATCACAGGCTTCGCAGCATTATCCCTGCCGTGTAGGAGTACTAGTCGGGGCCAAACTACCAGAGAAGCAACCGCTCTCTCCTCTTGAAAAAATTGTCCCATTTAACTTTTCACATAAATTAAAAAAATTATTAATTATTATATTACATTAGTATATTTTTCATATATTTTAAAAAAATATAATTAAACATTTTTTTTACAAAATAGATTTCATTAGAAGTATTTATAAAAAGTTCGTTTCTTAAAATTTTAGCAAAACAAGTATATATATATTAATGATTTTTTTGGGACAGAAAGAGTATAAATATTTCTTAAAAAAAACTCAGTGAGATGGAGGCACCCTGATAATTGATCGATAAAAAGAAGAAAATTAGGTGGTGATATTAAACTGGTTTATTAATGACAAATCTGCCACCATATCGATAGATCATGCTTTCTAGAATTTAATAAACAGTAATAAAAAATAAAAGATTTATGCTGTACTTAATTTCATTTATATGTTAATATCTATCTGGGAGTTGACCTAATTCACTTTCTTTTATAATTTACGACAGAATGTGGTGGACATACCAAAGCAAATGGAGTATTTTAAAGAGTATAAGAAAAGACTGGAGTCTGCAATTGGAAAGCAAAAAACCGAAAATCATATCAACAAGGCACTGTTTATCGTCAGTGCTGGCACGAATGACTTCGTTGTCAATTATTTTACTCTACCAATGCGACGAAAAACCTACTCCATCCCAGCTTACCAGCATTTCATCTTGGAAACAGCAATTCAATTCGTTCAGGTTTGGCTTGAATTTAATGTTATCTCTAGCTAATATGTAATTTTTTTTCTTAATTATCTACTAACCCATTGACAATTTTATCCGGTGCATTGTATTGACGCATAAATATAATTAGTCAATCTACAGTTTGTTGTTAATTTTGTCGAAAAAAGAGATTGTATCTATTTTGGTCGAGAAAGTATTTTGCGAATTCGGTGGTAGTATCTTAATTAATAAAGAAAATCAATATTGCTGGTAAAATATTAATAAAATTAATATTCTTTATATTTTCTTTATACATACAAAATATCTTTAAAATAAAATTTTAAATGAAAAATTTTTGTTAGACATATTGAAATTTTGAGAGTAAAATATTTTTATTCATATGTTATTTTTACATAATTATTTTAGACTCGATTTTTAATTAACTTAATGATTTTTTTTTAATTTATCATCTTAACTTTGAATTATTTTTAAAAAAATTAATATTAATTTCACATAACGTAAGATTAAATTTAATAACTAACAATTATAATAAAAAAAATATTTTATAAAATATGAGTACAAGATATTGATATGACATTATAATAAATAATTTTTCAAAATTATAAGAAACAAAATCAAAGAAAGGGATCTCTTAAAACAGAAGAAACAAGAGGAAGTATTAATTAAGGTTATCTAACTCGGAAAGGAAGACAAAAGATTAATTAAGGATGTAACACATGAAAGATAAGAAGATGAGGTCCATTTGAGGAACATAACATTTATCAGTTCATTAATGATGTCTACCTTGCTAGGCCCCTTCCCCAAGCTATATAAAGTAATGTATCACCATCATCTGTCAACTTGAAATCGACATAGATATGGGGGGCGTTGGGACTGGTTTGACAGGAGCGAATGAAGATACATCCCTGTGGACCATCAGTTAATTATGAGTTGCAATATATAATGGTATAGTTAGACATGGGCAGAGCTAGAGTAAATGCATATCATCTTAATTTAAGTATTTCCTAACTTTCTCACTCTATCCCCGCTGTCTCGTTTGATCGTTATTAAATAATTATGTGCAGAAAAGATAGAAATATTGCATTCAAGTACCTTTATCAAAGTATCCACGCTTATTTAATTTCCCCAAATTAATTAGTGTTGAAATTATTGTGCTTCATAATGCATGCTATAATATTTTAGGTTATGAAAATTCTCACTGATACTACCGTACATTATGTGACAATAATATATAGGATTTGTTTGATCAAGGAGCAAGAAGAATCTTATTCGTTGCGCTACCTCCAATGGGTTGCCTGCCTGTTGTTATCACCCTTTTTTCTGGTCATGCCATTTCCGAACGTGGTTGTATTGATTATTATTCCTCCGTTGGAAGAGAGTTCAATATCTTGCTCCAAAACGAGTTAAATCTCATGCAAACTCGATTAGCAAGTCATGGCGTTAAGATCTTTACAATTGATGCGTATGGAGTTATGACCGACATGATCCAAGGGCAAGGAAGGTCTGGTGAGTGTATACAAAATTCGAACTTAATTTGAGCTCTTAATAAGATTAAAATGACAAATATATATGTGTATTCTCACGTTTTTTTTTTCCTCCAAGCATTTGACGAAGTAAACAGTGGCTGCTGTGGAACCGGGTACATGGAGGCAGGACTCTTATGCAATCGGAAGTCATTTTTGTGTCCTGATGCATCGAAGTATGTATTCTGGGATTCGATACATCCAACTGAACAGGCATACTACAATGTTTTTAAGTCCATTCGTCCTATAATTGATATCCTCAGCAGAGACTAAAATTCATTTATTTTGATTCCGAAGAATGTTATGATCATTCGAAATCGTCTGAAGTATTTTTTCCCCCTTCCATTGTTGGAACTGTACAATCTTGCATAAGTAATGTATGACCAGTTAATAGTAAGATTTCATGAAACGAAACTAAAAATGTTGAAAGCATAAGTTTTTATTTTTATTTTTTTAACGCACTCTTAGTTTGGGTATTTAATTTGTATCTTTTCTCTATCAATTACTTGGTCAAGAGGGTAGAAAGTAAAATTTCTAATCCAATCAAGATTTGACATATGTCATTATAAGATTCCATATATCTTGTTTAATGACTATATATACTAAGTTTCGTAAATGTCATTAAAAATAATCTAAAGAATATTCAATAAATAATTTTATTAATTGTCATATATTGAATAAAATCTTGATATGTGTCTTTAGTCAATCAAATAGTGCCATATGTCATATGTTAAAATTTCAATACCAGCCTCCCAAGTCCTTTTAAAAGAGAGAGAGAGAGAGAGTTCCTCGAGCAAGAAAGCTCTCAAGCATGTTGGGTTTTTTTTTTTTAACCATAAAGAGTGGCTTAAAGGTAGAAGTTTTGGACTTCCTATAAGAGATTCAAGGTTTAAATCTCACTTTTTATATCTTCTTGTGGTCACCACAAGACTTATATCTACTTTCTGACTTTCAAGAATGTAGAGAACTTGAAATTTCTAATTTTAAAACTAATCTGTATCCACCAAAATAATTAAAAAATAGTTAGTTTTTGAATAATAATAATAATAATAATTCTTTTCCACATCTATAATGAGAAGATTTATTGGATCAAGCCTAGTGTCCTTGTAGAAATTTACTTTAGCACTACTAGGAGAGATCAAAGACATCTTCAAACGGTTCATCAAACCACCAAATCAAGCCGAGCAAAAACACACTAAGTCTCCACGTGTCCTTACAAAGCACCAAATATTCGACTCATCAAGGTTCGAGTCTTCAAATATTTTCACGAAGGAAAGAACCAAAAGAACGACAATATTTGTATAGAATTTATATATTAGAGATTGTATCCACACACATAGCTTTAATAAATCTATCGTTGCCCAACATCCGACGTAATTCCCAAAAATTTATTAAAAGTGTTTAGGTATATCCGTAAATTATTTATAATTTCGGAGATGTGAGTTATTATTGATTTTTGGAGTCGTCACATAGTATTAAAGGAACTAAGAACCTAAAACTAGCACAAGTCTAGAGATTCTAAGGTAAGGAATTAGTTATGCTTTTTGAAAGAAATCGATAACCAAGAAGCATCTTTTTTTAAGAAAGGTATCGCGTCTATCATAATCCTAACATTTATCTCCTAAGTGTTTTAGTTGTGCCAAATTATTTTCAATTTACACTCCAAGTTTTTTTTTCTAGGCCAAATTAAGTTTTTTAATTTTGCTTGTAGCATCATATTGAACCAATCATTGGATCCTTCCTCGTCGAGAGGCACGTCAATTCAAACATCGGATCCACTTTAAGTATCGACATAATCAGTATTTTAGAGAACGTCATAGTATTGAAGGAACTAAGAACCCAAAACTAGCACAGGTCTAGAGATTCTAAGGTAGAAAATTGTTTATGCTTTTTGAAAGATATAGGTTACCAAAAAGCATCTTTTTTGAAGAAAGGTATCACTTCTATTTTAATCTTAACATTTATCTCCTACGTGTGTTAGTTGTGCCAAATTATTTTCAATTTAAACTCCAAGTTTTTTTTTTCTAAGCTAAATTAAGTTTTTTTAATTTTGTTTATGGCATCGTATTGAACCAATCGTTGGACCCTTCCTCATCGAGAGACACGTCATTTCAAACATCGGATCCCATGAGAGACACGTCATTTCAAACATTAGATCCACTTTAAGTCTTGACATAACCAATATTTTAGAGAATATCATAGTATTTAAGAAACTAAGAAACCAAAACTAGCACAAGTCTAGAGATTCTAAGATAAGGAATTGGTTATATTTTTTGAAAGATATCGATTACCAAAAAGCATCTTTTTTTAAGAAAGGTATCGCGTCTATCTTAATCTTAACATTTATCTTCTAAGTGTTTAGTTGTGCCAAATTATTTTCAATTTAAACTCCAAGTTTTTTTTTAGGCCAAATTAAGTTTTTTAATTTTGTTTATGGCATCATATTGAACCAATCGTTGAACCCTTTTCTCATCGAGAGACATGCAAGTTCAAATATCATATCCACTTTAAGTCTCGACATAACCGGTATTTTAGAGAACGTCTTAATTACTTAAATGATTTTTTTTTACTAACAACGATCCCTATTAGATATGAGACTTTGTTTTATGTGTGTGTGTGTGTGTGTGTGTGTGTGTGTGTGTGTGTGTGTGTGTTTCTATTTTCTTTTTCTTTCTTTCTTTCTACTTTTCTTTTCTCTCTTTTTTCCTAATTTTTTTATCATTTTTTTCTTCTTCTTTTTTTCCTTTTTTTCCTAACATTTCTTCTTTTCTTTTTATTTTCCTAACATTTCAATTAATTACCTAACCTATTTATTAAAATAAATTCTAAAATTGACATTAACTAAATAAATTCAAAAAATTCAAAATACCAAATCTAAATTAAGCATAAACTAATAATAATAATAATAATAAAAGCATGCATACATAAAAAATAAACGGGTGACAAGAACAAATAAAAATTCTCATTAAAGACTAACCAAAATACCCCTACGATGCTCGTTGGAAAATAATCAAAACACCTTTGACACATAATTACCAAAATGCTTTTGGGGATAAAATAACTAAAATGTTCATGAAAAACTACGAAGCTACTATCGAGATGTTTGTTGCTATATGATGACCTTTTGGGTGATTGAACCACCCTATGTTGGTGGTGGTTTAGGTCGTCGTTGTCGGAGGAGAGAGATCGACGGCCTTGAAGTTTTGATCGATTCTCATCCTATTCTCGATAATGATTCCAATGATGCTAAAGGATTTTGAGAACACAATCAACTCATGAGGTTTAAAGAAGTGTTTCTATGTGATTAGGGGGTCTAATTTGGCTAGAATCGATCGATTTTTCGAGGTTGCATAAAAAGGTGAGGAAATGGGTCATCATTGATTAGTTCACTTTTCGGTAACTTTTGGCTATGATTCCAAAAGGTAGTCACTCAAGGTAGTTAACCAACTAGGTCCGTGGTGATGAGAGTTGGGGTTTTGGCTAGAATTACGAGATACAATCGAGTTGATAAACGAGTAGAGTTAATGACTTTCTCCCCTCAATTTCGACCTCCTCCGATGTCCTTTCCTCCTCTAATTGGTAGGGATAGGTCAATTTGAAGATGGACTATCCGTTAGTGATGGTGATTGGAGTCAAAATTGACTAGATGGTAGTCGATTTGAAGGAGGAAGTCACGACCGAGTAAAGAGATCAAATTATGGATTTAGGTTGCTTTTAGGGGTTGTTTGGTAGTTTTCTAAATGGTTGGTTTTTTTGGTGGTTTTCAAGATGATGGAGGGTGGTTAGATGTGTGGGGGCTGTTATGGTGGTTGGTCAAGTGGAAAGGAACCATGGTGGTGGGTAGAGAGACGAGAGATGAGTAAGAGGTTAGGGTTTTTTGAGGTAGGATGAATGATTGTGGCTATTGTGGCTACCCTAAAAATGAAGGAAAAGATTGTTTATATATGAGATTTTTAAGGTTGAAGGGATAAGTCATCTCTTTAATCATTTTTTTTTTGTATTTTATATTTCATATATTTTTTATATTTTTCATTCATTTTTATAGTAAATTATAAAATAAAGTGAAATAAAATAAAATAAAAAAGATGGATAAAATTTTAGATTATGATAGTTACCCGCTCTTTGTGATGCTTACATTGCAAATGTTAACTAAAGCGTGAACTTCAAATTGGGTATGCATAGTGAGCTTGGAAAGAAAAAAGGTAAATTGAGTGGCAAAAATAGTCCAATTATCATGGGTGACTATCCCTAAAAAAAGATATAATAGCCTCATTGTATAGGATTGCTTGCCCTCGAAAAATAAAAAATAATGGTCCGGTAGTCATGGGTGACCAACCACGAAAATAAAAAATTAATGGGACAACCTTGCTATGAAGGGTAGCCTACCTTAAAAAGTAAAATGCAATGTGATGACCTTGTTGTGAAGAGTGACTTATCCGGAAAAAAATACAATGTGATGGCCTTATTGTCGAGGGTCATCTATCCCGAAAATTAAACACATAATGTGATGGCCTTATTGTCGAGAATGGCTTACTCTAAAAAGTTAAAATGTAATGATCTATTATTAAGTGACCTTGTCCGAGGTAATGATCTATTTTTAGGCGACCATGCCCGAAATGATGATCTACTGTGAGGCAACCTTATCCGAAATAATGATCTATGTGAGGTGACCATGCTTGGATGATGATCTATTATTACGCGAACTCGTTTGAAATGATTGTCTATTGTGATATAACCTAACTCGAATGATGGTTCATTAGGAGGTGTAGGGATGTCGATGGGGAAGGGCGGGGTAGGGCGGGGATGGCCATCCTTGTCCCCATCTCATTTGGGGCATATTTTGCATACCATCTCTATCTCAAATGAGGTGGGGACGTGGTCCTATTAGATTGCCATTCCTAAAGGAAAAAGGACGGGACGGGAAGGGGCGAGGATGGCCATCCCCATCCCCATCCCCGTCCTATGCCCCATTTAAGGCATATTTCCGGTACCATCTCTACCCCCAAATGGGGCGAGGTGGGGCGAGACCTCATCGGGGCGTGTTAAATAGCTATCCTTAATGAGGTGACCTTACCTGGATGATGGTCTATTATTAGGCGACTCTACCTAGATGATAGCCTATTGTTAGTAAGCGACCTTACCTAAAAGGATAATCTATTATGAGGCAATCATGTCCGGATGATAGCCTATTTTAAAATGACCTTACTTGAATGATAGTCTATTTTTAGACGACCCTACCTAGGATGATGGTCTATTATGAAGTGACCATGTCC